AGAAATATGCCAAAGGTACATCATCAATCATCATGCAAAGTGGTTCTCACCAATCTATTGATTTTCCTCTCTTTGCAAACACATAACCTTGACTCAAATCATACGCCGCTGATATTTGCTTTCTCTGTTTTACAGAAAAACGTAAAGATGTCATTATTAAATGATCAATCTTTTTCACTTACGTATTCCAAATAAAAACATGGTAAAATGTTGGCACAAAATGTAAAAAGAAAACTAAAATAATAATAATAATAATAATAATAATAATAATAATAATAATAATTCATAGCTTCTGATCTTAATTGGTTTGGTTGGATGCAGAAACATGTTTCGTGTTAGTGAATTAAGACGTACTGCAGTAAACATGCCATTCAGTATCATTCATTTGTTTGTCAGTTGCCTGATTTTAACCTCATCGACTGACGCACTGTGTTCATGAGGTGGAGAAACTTCAAGTGTGTGTGCTGAGAGTTTTTTTCTAATTCATTTTGAAGTATGAGGCAGCCACGTCCACTTGGGAATCACGTCAAGATATTTGGGAACACCTAAGAAAAGGAGACCGTCTAAGTGTATAGGGTTATCGGAACTGAAAACTTTTCTGAGCCGCATTCACCATACAAAAAATCTATCACCGTGCGATACACATTTGCTTATGATGTGTCTGATATACCCTCATCATATCCTTATCAGACTGGGTGTCATCATGGGAATATTGGGTTATGTATATTTGTACCATAGCGCTATTTTGATGTGTTGCTCTCCCTCTGACTCTTTCAGTCGTAAATAATAATAATGATAATAATAATAATGATGATAATAATAATAATAATAATAATAATAAATCTCAAAAATGTGGCACATAGGAACATCAACAATCCCCGTTGTAGTTGGAGCCCTCAGATTGATTGGAAAATATTGCAGTAGACTAATTGAAGGGATTCCTGGAAGTCCATGCCTCAAAGAGATACAAAAAATTGTCCTCACAAGTACAGCTCACACTTTACGAAGGGCTTTATCTATGTAATTTTTTTTTTTTTTGCAGTGGAAAGTGTCATGATACCATTTCTAACCTTAGATACCTGGGTGGGACCCGGAAAGAAATGTGAAAACGCCAGAAATCAAAGGAAATAATAATAATAATAATAATAATAATAATAATAGTAACAATAATAATGAAGGTTTTATTCTTGCTGCATAGGACTAATCATTGCTAACTATAAATTACCAAGTGTACATTTTTAATTGTGTTAAACCGAAATGCAACTAGAGTGATAAATATCTAGAAACAGTTGACCATCTTGTATCAATTTGCATGGTGTTAACACTAACTGAATATAAAACTCGGCATGACAAACTGGGCCAATACATGCAGTGGAAAAGCTGAAACTTTTAAGCGAAAGAAATTGCAAGAAACTGATGTGAACACCACCCAGTCCCAGTTACAGAACTAGGATTTGTACCAAATGTTATGTGACTTCACAATATACACAGACAAATCTAATCGCCCAAACATCGTGATCAAAGACCACAAAAACAGAATGTGATTACTTATTCACACAACAGTCTCTGCAGATTTTAATTTATTAATGAAGATCTTCAAAGAACTAAAAAAATAAAAAAAAGATCTTGAAGCGGAAATCTAAAATATATGACACATGAGGACGTCAATAATTGTTGTATATGAAGCCCTCGGCTTGATTGGAAAAGGTTCCGATAGATTTCTTGAAGGGGTCCCTAGTAGCCAATGCCTAGCTAGCCAATTCTGACCTAGGTCTCTGGTTGGGACCCAGAAGGAAATGTGCATAGAAGAGAAATTAATGAACATATTAATAATGATGATAATAATGATGGAAAAATGCAGAGTCGATGGCAATATTCGTTGGTCAACACTCTGCCCGTGACAAAAAAAAAAAAAAAATCTGATATAGACAAGCTCAATATCCATCAAGGATTGCGTAGAGCAGGATCACAAAACTGAAAACGGAGGCTTTATTCTTGCCGACAGGACCAATGCCTGCTAACGAGAAATTACCAATATGTATATCTAGAAACAATTAGCCATCTTGTATCAGGTTGGGCTGTATTCGATTCCACCGAGTATAAATCTTCGTATGATAGAATGGGCTAAAATCTACAATGGAATATCTGCAACTTTTGCTCGAAGACAACTGCAAGAAATTTATATGAATACCACTCGGACCCGGTTATATAGACAGGACCTGCAACAATTTTGTGGGACTTTACAATATACACCGACGGGACAATCGAAGAAAATCACCCAGACATCGTAATCAGAGACGACAAGGACAGAATGTACTTTCTCATTGACATGGCAGTTCCTGCAGAATGCAATATATCTTTGATCATCATCAAAGAATTATCTTACCTTACGAAAGGTTTTATCTATGTTAAATGAGTGGGGTCTTAGGTTGTTGCATTTTTATTTTTTATTTCTTTACAAAAATGTTCAGTGGAAAACGTCATGTTCCGATTTCTAAGCTTAAGCATCATCATCACCATCATCATCACCATCATTATCATCACTACCAACATCATCACCACCACCATCACCAACATCATCATCACCAACATCATCATAACCATCATCACCATCATCATCATCATCACCATCTTCAACATCATAACCATCATAACCATGATCATCAGCATCATCATCACCATCACTACCATCATCAACATTATCATCAACGCCACCATGATCATCATCACCATCATCATCACTATGAACACCATCATCACCACCATTATCATCACCATGATCACCATGATCATCACCACCATCATCATCATTATCATCATTCATCATCACCGTCATCATCATCATCATCATCCTCAAATAGAGAAAACAAAGATTTGGTCCTAAACTCGAACATTATTTTCTGAACAACCTAATACGTTGTATCTATAATAAAACCATCATCCGAAAACTGTTTATTATCAATATTATCTCATAATGGCTATTCTTATAGTCAACATTATAAGCTGCAACTAACACTGTACATTTACTCGTATAAATATAATTATAGTCTGAAAGTATCTTATTGCTTACATAAAGACATTGTACCAATTTAACTAACATCAGTTGGTTAATACCAATTTTAATGTGAAAACGATTCGATTGATCGTATTCTACGGCTTATCAACGTGTTGCTGCATTTGAAGTAAGAAAATATTTTTAGATTGTAAGAATTGTTTTCTTTTGTTGGGAGATAATAAGGATTTAGTGATATAAATATTACTAATTAATCCACAGATTGGGGGAGTAGAGGTGGATGCATGTTTTTACTAAGGGTATTTGTACAGAAGTAATTATAGCAAATCCAAATATAATTGTAACTCGACACTCCATTTAACAATTTCGAGCCATTATCTATTGTACCACACGCACATCCATGCTTAAAGTATCTGATATTTTCAAGAAGTCATCGATCTAGGTACTGAGCAGGCTTGACGTTGCTTAACTTCGGTCATCGTACGGGAACCAATGTTTCAAAATGATATGGCTGTATGCCAAATTTGAAAGTAGTCAGTAGCAAAACACAGTGAAATGTCTGAAATAAAATGACAAATCCAGAGAAAATAATTTTATATTTTATAAAAAAATCGTAGAACACACGTAGAAATATAACTTTCTTGAGGAGAGTTTATGGGTCCTGACATCGTATCTCGGCTTCAGTCACTTTCCCATCGCCGTAAAGTTGCTTCGCTGTACCTTTTCTATAAATGGTTTTATGGTAATTGTTTTGGTGTAAAGGAATATTACGGTATGTTTTGGGTCAGAGATTGCAGCTGGCTAAGTTTCAAATTTGAAAACAGAAGAATACCAGAGTTTTTCCGCATTCCTCGTTTTGGCCTTGTGCTACATTTCCGAATATTTTAAAGATTAAATATCGCTCTTCGCTATGGTACCCGGACTTAAGCGCAGTACTAGATTGACAAAATGGTCTCATGAACTTACGGTTCAATTTACTCGATGTAAAAGTAACAGTTTCTTCTCTCGCGCTACACGCTTGTGGAAATCTCTTTTGGCTGCATAACATACGGCCAAGTTTGATCTTCAAAAATGTGAATGAAATATCAATCGTTATTGTTGAGGGGTCCACCACCTTTTTACACAAATGGACTCATCCAGTATATACATATACTACTGCTACGTGAAGACCCGAGAGACGAGAGCAACAGAGGGTGAAGGTAACAGACAGACAGAACGAACGTAGTGATCAAGAGTCACAGTGAGCGAGCATGTAGACTCAGTAAGAAGCCATACAGCGATACTTCAATACCAAAGGCTGATATATATATATTTTGCTACTAACCCGCATTCCTGGAACTACTAACCTGCATTATTACGTGAATACATTATTTTCCTATATTCATTCCTGGCATTTGTTATTTATTGGTATCGGATTTAAACCCGGAATCCACAACAGTTAAATATTGTCCTCCTGATTACTCTTCATATGTTCTCTCTCATTCATAATGCTTTCTGTTTTCTACTTCTTTCACAACCTTTTGTTTTAGTGGCTTCATTGCCTTCCATGGGGTGTAATTTTAATTAAAATGTCTAGTTCAGTTATCGTGATACACGCTTAGGTGATTATGTATATTTTGATACATGACTGACGAGGCAGATTTTTTTCCCGCAGTAGGCTGATATTTCTGCGGTAGACCAGTTGCCATCCAAGGCTATAGAACACGGTCTGTCCTGCTATTTATTCATAGCTAATGGGAGAAGAGGATTCATACCTTTCTCGAGAGTATTAACAAGTAAGGGAATGTAATGAATTCGACTAGAATTCGAACTCAGCTCTCCAATTCTTCAATCCGAGCCGCCTTCCATTACGCCACCGTGCCTCCACACAAAAAAGTTTATTAATGCCAATTCACCAAAAATAATATTAGTTTTCATAATAAAATCCACTTATTTCGATCGTTAAAAATAATGTATTTGAAAACAGCATATTTGAAATTTACGCTGC